GGAATTGACCAATCACAGTTCATTATTCGACTTACGACATCCAATGTAGACCCAGCCTTACTGACTTTACTGCTGCGAAAAACGCAGCACCAGTAATTTTCATTGCTACCAACTATACTGTTTTCACTGGCAGTAACTAAATCCATTTTCGAACACATCCTTATTAATAGCAAGAGAATTTTTAATTATAAATTTTACTAAGACTTAATCTCTCTTCCTTCCAGTAAATAATGTAGATTCTAAACAGATTTTTATGAAACAGCGATATGTATAACTTTTTTAAAGCCACTTGGTACATTTGAAACTAACAGTTAAAAATCACTAAATTTTTACAAACTAACGTTTGATTTATACAACATAAATAACTAACTTAGAGATAAATAACTAACTTGGCATCTTCAGTGAACGTAACAATGATACATTGCATAATAATAAGAAATATAAAATTACAAGTTTGCCTTTTAACATAAACGATAATTAGCACCTTATATAAATACGATATACGAGCAGTAAGACGCGAGAATAATTGTTATTATGTTCTGGGAGGATTTGGCAGCTCTATTTTCAACAATAGTCTTATTTAACCATTGTAGATAAAAATCCACTCGAGAATAAACACCTGGTGCATTCGGACGAGCGCATCCCGCGCCCCAGGAGACAATACCGACCTGCGTTCCATTGCATAGCAATGGTCCACCGCTGTCGCCCTGAAAATTCAATAAGCGCACTGTAGACTCTAGCTACAAAAAATAAAAATGAAAGTAGTAAAGAGCTAAAAATCAATATTAACATTGTTTCCCTGACTCTTTTGTTCAGCACAAAACAATATGATTTATTACTGATTTCCTTATCTATTATTTTCTTCAAAGAGACAAAGAAATATGTCGTTATTTAATTATTTCCAAGCAAAAACTCCACATACACGTGCATCTACAGAATTGAATGCAAACCTTGCAGGCGTCACGACCACCTTCCGGTAAACCAGCGCATAACTGCTTTTCTTTATGTACATTCAGCATGGGGCATTTGTCAGGTGAAATTAATGGGATTCGAACGTGCCGCAAATGTGTGCCGCTTCCTTGCTAATAATGAGCCACGTAAAGAGTCAAGTAAATAAATTATTTGGTCACGTGGATTTTTTATTTTTACTGAACTCTGTTAAATACTTTCGGAATTAATTAAATTCCATTTCTGAAAAAAAAACGACAGAGCTTCTAGGATAACTGGACACAAGTATTAGAAAAAGTCCGCTTCAAGCGGAATCTAAAATAGCTCTATGGCGATTTCATGATTGGTCAAACCCTCTACGACGCGAGGAAACATATTTGCATGCCCCGTCTGTTCGAGACAATGTTATACGAAGAAAAAGAGGAGGATGCTTCTTCCATCAGAATGTATTATCCTCATTTGCGTGGGGGTATTGAATAAAGCAACTCCGTAACAACTCGCTTACGCTTGAATCAGGTATGTGTCGACCCCATCCGATCGCGACACAATCCTCCGTGTATATCTGGAACATATCCGCAAGGTACACCGGCGGAAGTGCGACGTATTGGACGTACGCGTTTCTGTAAAGTGGTCTCTTGAGCTGCAAAAGCGGGCACGGTTGACAGTGCGAGGCCAACGGTGGTTTACAAGGTTTTGCTCTCTTTATTATCGACACAGAATTATATACACGGCATAAACAGTCACCCTGAACAATCCAATATCGTTTTGCATGTCCGAGAATCGAAACTCTGCGTGCGGCAATGTCTTGTCTACCAATTCCACCTGCATGGAACTCCAGCTTGGTAAATACACATAGGTCGCGCCAGCGATCACATAGAAGTGGCGTGGACTCTCAGCTGCCCACGTACCGTCGTGCAACCGTCTTTAAACAACGACGAGTTAATTATACACCTTGGGTTTTTTTTTCCATCTAAACATCGGAGCGGTGTGGGGGAAAAGTGGGACGCAGTCAAACGCGAGATGTAATGACGGAGCTCTTTTTCCTGCTCAATGGCAGCGCGGGGTTCGATGACTCGCTCTCTTCGCATGCTGAATAAATAATTTATTTAAATAAAAAGATACCAACAACTTTTAGGGACGTATGTTCGCGAGGCCACGAGGTCTTTCGAAAAGTCTTTTAAAACATTAAACTGAGAAGTCTTGAAACAACACGAGCAATTTTCCTTTCGCTGCAGGCGAAATACGTGCAAACGTGGTCTGTAATTATGTTAATCTCGAATAACAAAAAAAAAATTATATTGTATTGATAATAAAAATTAAGTACGTCGTGTTATAAACCCGGGAATTTCTTGACGGCCAGAGATAATGAAGATTATCGTATAAAATTGGTGTTTCTTTTAGCTAGAGAAGAGGAAAGTAATGTCGGGCAAATGTGTTCTTTAGTGTCGGTCTCAACGTAATCGCTACCTCTGGCACGTGATCTCGATTCCCCCTCAATTTGTCTCGTCCCCTTTAAATCACTCTTTTAATATTTCACGCGGCTTGTCGCGTGAACGAGCATACGTCTGATTGCGCCCCAATTTCGCCCTACGTACAATCACGAGCGGCCGAGCTGACACGTAAAACAGAAACTACGTTCACGCGAGTAGTAGTACATCTCATCGCTAGTACACAGCTAATCGATACACAGATAGATACCGCGACAGATATCATTAGCCTTAAGATCTAGCGCCGCTAACCTTCTCGTTACTCGTGAAAGATATACGCTAGACAGCTCACATCACTACTCACAGTCAGAAACAAATAAGGTACAATCGTAGGGGATGAACGGGACGGAGGGCGCGCGTTAAGATTCCCTCTATAATTAATGAGCCGGTTGTCAACAGGCAGTTATTCTTATACCCGATCGCTGACACCGTTCGATCTACCGTCCAATCCCGTTCACTCGGTGGTTGCTGTATGATCCAAAAGAGGTTTGTATCCAGTAGCGAAAATATAAGTCCGAACATTTCGCGTACGTTTCGCGACATAAGCTCGCCTACCTGAATACGTTTGGGATCTTTACGCTGGACTGCTGTTTCAGATATACAATCTCTTTGCGATATTTAACGAATATTCGTATAGAATGTGTAGATATAAATATCTCTTATAGGAGAGAGAGAGACTCGCTCTCTTTCGAAATATATAACACGTTTCCAAACTAGATTACTGCAAATTTAAATCCGCCGACTTGCTCGGCTTCTCACAAATGGAAGCGATTTACATCTTACAAGACACCGTCATTACATCAACCACAAGCCCAGCTTTCTTCTGTGAACGAACATACAGTACCTCTGCAGTAGCAAGGAGGTTAAATACGGCCACTAATCTCACGTATTGTGGTGTAATCCTAAAATGTCTTACCAGGGCGTTCGGTTCGCTTTACAAATAAATAATTATATTCCCGAGAATACCGAAGTGTTAATTTATATTTCAGCCACCAAAGGATCTCTATCTCCGTGATCTTTTTACCTCGCGAAACTTACTTTAAATCTAAAAAGGTACAGATCACATAAACAGCTTCGTATTTAAACATTTTATCGTATTAAAAACTGAGAAGATATTCCCAGCCTCTTGGAAAGTTGCAAGTAAAAGTGAGAGACGGTTTAAACTACGTAAGAAACTTTGACCATACGAGAATCTTTTGCATACTCTAAATAATGAAAACAAGCGGCAAAATTGTGCAATGTAAGATGCCCTTGATATCGGACACTAATAAAAATGGAATTCGCTCGATACTCTTCATTTCACAGAGAAAATAAATTTCAAACTTCAAGGAAAAGTAATTTAAGAAAACGACCCAAGAAGGGTAATTTAAATTTTTTCGCGTTATTTTCAGACAGCTTAAATTTTATTTCAAGCTCATATAATTTTGTACAGCCTCAAAGGAATAAACGTTTCTGCGTTCGCTACTCTCGAAGTTCAAACTTCAATTATAGAGTTATCTAAAAATATTTTTAACTGAAATTTAAATATAAAACTCGGGTAAGTATACACCTGCCTGACAGGTATACAACGCATATATCGTTTTTGCACAAGAAAAGTGACACCAGTAAAAATGTTTTTGCATTTTTATAATTTATCAGTGAATTAACATAGAAAACAGTGAGCAGTGACTCATTTAAAGTTGCAAGTGTACCACTGCGATTTTCCATGACATACTTATAACTGCAAATCGGTAACTATTCACTGTTTTCAGTGATAATTATAAGTAAACCAATGATATCGTTTTCCGAAACAACCTACATTAGCCAGTGTTTTTATTTAAAAAAACAACGACGTTTCGGTCCCGGATTTGGACCCTTTTCAAATATTCTTTTCACACAATTGCCATTGATCTCATATCGCTCTCTTGGTCAATATCGTTATGTTAATAAGATATTGGTCAAAAAATGATTGCACTCCTTGGTTGAAGAGTGCAAAGTCAATTTAAGTTGCGTTGTTATTTTTACGCCACGAGTAAAAATGTCGAGTGTGTTAGTCGAGATGTCGGGTCGAACTGATTTCGATCGAACAGTTTGGACAGAAGTCCAAATCCGGGACCGAAACGTCGGTTTTTTTAAAAATAAAAACATTGGCCAGTGTAGGTCGTTTCGAAAAACTATATCATTGATCATAAGTAAAGTCACAAAAATTTCGTCCAAAAAAGGCGCAATGCAAAGATTGCATTTTGTGTGAGTGTAGCGATAGTAAAGAAATGTATGAAAATAAATAGGATTCTTTCAGATTATGGAGAAAGATTTCAAGAAAGAAGAAGGAAAAGGAAAAAAAAACAATTTAGCAGAGCATGTTGATCGTAGCTGTGCACGATTCGCAGGTAGATTGAAAGGATAAACTCGTCCTTCTGTAAAACTGCTATTTTGAATTGTGTCACTTGTCTCGCGTTAGAAGCGATATGCAAAATCAGGAAATTCTAGTAAAGCATTTTTGAAAAAAAAGGGTGACGTTGTCAAAATTAATAATGTTGCAACGCAAATGTACGTCAATTTGTTCGCGTAGCAAATGTATCACAGAAAAAGCATGAAAAGATAAATTCGCTGTACATACAACATGGCAGTGTGTCCTAATCATAATTGGCCGCGAGAGCCTTTAGAACGAATAACTTTTATACACACACTCTTACATATATATAAAATATAAGCAAATGAGTAAGAGATCGACACCTTACCGTCGTTAAATTAAAAAGATCACAGATTAACAATTAACACAGAATCAAGCTCAAGGAGTGTCGTGCGCTGCTAACAGAACGCTCTCTCCTACGAGAGCTCCTCCTGACTTGTACCGGAAATCTCACGCGAAATATCCTGGCTCGTTTTTCACCCCGTTATTTCAGAGGACGCCGGTATTTTAATCCTGGAATGTAATTCGGGAATCCCCCGAATTCCACCCTCTGCTCAAACGTTTTATGCATTCAATTGCGTGTGAGATTCAGCAGGTGAGGGAATATATGTAGGGCGAACAAAATGAGTGCTAAAGCCCCGGCAGGAGAGAAAGAAAAGGGGAGAGAGAGAGAGAGAGAGAGAGAGAGAGAGAGAGGGACTACACCACCCTCTTCTTCGACAGACACAGCGCAAAATGCGAAACGCAGTCTTGTGACACGCACCTGACCATGCAATGGGCGGCCGACAGGACGAACCTACAGGCGACGTAAGTGCCTCCGCACGAGTGGCTATAGGGTCGGCGCTGCACCGAGACCTAAGAGGAATTGACATTGAAAAATTCGGATTCGCCGAGTCCGAGTCGAGTCGGTTGCCGCCTTAACCCTTGCGCCCTAAGCTCGAAGTGCCCAACGCTCGTTCGAGACCGCTTTTGCACCTCAACTTCACAAATAATTTCCTCCCCTTTCGCATCCCATTTTTATATTCACGTTTTATCCTGTATTTCCTGTGGAGCGTCTACGAAAGCGAGATAAACGTTTCGTAAGGTCGCATCGTTTGCAGACACATTTAATTTCGAATTACAAAAACTCCAAATGATTTTATCCCCCTGGAACTTTGAATAGGGCGACGCGTTTTATCAATCCGACGTCTTTCCAGAGGAAACGCTTGACTATTTGGAAATTGAGATTTCCGGCTGTCTCGAAAGCATTCAGAGTTAGATTGGCACGAGCGTTTAAAGTGTACCGTCAGTACCTATCGCGCGGACGAGAAATTAGACGTGCCGAAACTGCACGACGTAATATCCTAGCTTGTATTTTAATAAAACCGATATCTCCGATCCGAATTGGTCCTGCATGTGAATTCAGGAGAATTACCCGAAGCGCAAAATGCAAGATACGTCAGTCGAGACTTCATTTTCAAACCGTCATCGTCATAACATTTTTATTTCGCGCTACTTAGAGATCGGAACTGTTCGACCGTACGGAAAAAAAAAAAACGCTAAAAAAGTTTATGGATCGTTGAAGCGCTCGTTGAATCGCCGAGCATCTCGTCGACTCCCCGGATGGTTGATGGAACCACCCCGCGACCTTGCACAATGCGCATCGCGTTACTTCCACGTCCTTGACGTCAGAATCGCTACGCACATCCGCGAGGCACCTGGATGGCACCGACGACCCTCGAAAGGCGAAAGGCGAAGGGTTAAGGGGGCCTGTGTGTGTGCGTGAGAGAGATGGGCGCGTCGCCACGCGTACGATAAACGGATAATTCTTGATGCTGGTGATCTCCCCGCCGACGATGCGCACAGCCGCCCCGTCGTCGGCCGCAGGCTCCCACGACGTCGCGGTCGTTTCGACGCCGGTCACCAGGGAAATCGCGCGGATATACGGTACTAGGACGACCACGGCCACGACCGCGAGGAGCATCGTGACGGCTCGCGTGCGGCTCGCCGTAAAGCTTTAACGGGATCCTCCATTTTCTGTGCCACGCTCCCGTCGACTTTTGTTTCTCCGCTAATTTATACCGGGGGGGGGGGGGGGGTCTGCTCTCTCTAGCGCACCTTCTTACGTGTTTCTCCGCAAGCTTCGGGTGGGGATAAATAAATTATCTTTGCGTTTCCCGGGGAGAAGCCCGCCGCACGGAGCGCACGTGGCAACGAATATAAAATACGCGATGGATAAATGTGGAGTCCTGTGTGTGTGTGTATGTGTGTGTGTAGTATGAATGTATGTATTGATTGGCGTCAAGTATTTCCAGATATAATCTTTCCACGTGACACACCTTTCCTCCCCACAAACTTCAAAATCAATTTTGCCTGCGGAAGGTGCAGCTGGAAACAGCAAACTCGTATAAAATTTGCGATACAGTAAATTTGGAGACTTGGACAGGCCGGCTAGAGTGAACGCTGAGACGACTGGGAATATGTTAAAGGGGGAGAAAGACAGAGAGAGAGAGAGAGAAAGAATGAGATCGTTAAAAAAGACGACTTCTTTTCTATATTACTTCTCAGCGGTGGCGATCTTGCTTTCCGGGCAAAGCACATTGCCTAGCAGACTAAAATCTGCCTGAGATATTTCCTAAACTGCGGACAATATGAAAAGGCACTTTTCAATTAAAATATCGTTACTAAGCTTTCAAACTTCGCTCAGACGGCCGGACGCCCCCCCCCCCCCGGCTCTTACCTTGTATATAAATACAATAAAAATTGAAAAGTGGTATATTTGTTGCAAGTTTGAAAGCATGTAAGAATTTGCGCGCGATTGGATTAGGTATTCTCGATTTTAGCAAATAGTCGCACAATCTGAAATACGCATAAAAATTCATTAATCAGAAATATATTCTTTACTTCTATAAAGCACTACGTAGTCAATGTTTGTTCCCTAACGTTTCCACTTTCCTCTAACTAGGGCAATTAATTTACCATTTTGTAATCTGCCGTATTAATCTTTACATTAATTGTAACCGAACTCGAATCGCGCGGTCTAGTCGTAACGTCAGCTACGGGCATACGTTCGTAAGATCCGATCTGCGAAGCTATCAAAACTTTTTTCGTTAGATTAGTCGTCTAATAGTCGTCTCTGGGGACGACGATACGTTTCTCTCCGATTATCCTAATAATCAAGATTAGATTAGTACTCTAAAGCCCCGGAAAGCATCGTTCGCGTTCACCCTAGCGCAAGCGTTCGTCGACATAATCCTTTTAGTGTTCTAAAGTACCAAGCTTAGGTAGTCATACTAACGTACACTTACGCCGCAACCAATATGGCTGTTTAAAGTTGCTGGTATTTAGTATGAGTACCGAGTACAGCAGAGAGAGAGAGAGAGAGAGAGAGAGAGAGAGAGAGAGAGAGAGAGAGAGAGAGAGAGAGGATTATGATTTTTTAACGAGGAGCCGTGTCAACGTACAGACAGGAGATAATCCCAGGCGCCTGGTCGTGGAGAACCGTGTCGGTGCGATGGTATCGCATCAAGTCTTTTAAGTCCCGTCAAAGTCACGTCGTATCGACGGGTAAACGCGCCCAATAGTGTTCCAAAAAGTTGGCCGCAAGCACGACGGCCGTAATCGCTACTTCTACTAGATGGTTGAGTCAGAGCTTGATCGAATCGGCTTATCAGTCTCTCGATCGATCTCAATAAGATCAATACAGTGCATTATCCCTCCAATTGCGAGGGGATAAGGTAATAAAAGACCAGATTGTACGTCAGGTGAGCTCGGAGCAAGGAAATCCCATGCTTTAATCGTTTAGTTATTGTATACGTAATGGTAAGCGATCAGAGGTATTATTGATCAGACTCTGACTCGGGTGTCTCTAGTTATCTCTAGTTTCTCGCAGTTCTCTAAATGCCTAGCCGCTGTCGCGGTGTTTTTTAAGCTTGCCTCTTTAAAATACGCTCAAGGAAGTTGTAATATAATACTGATTGTAAGTCGTACATCCCGTTTCATCGATATCCCTCAGTTCGTTATAGCACGTGAAATGTAGATCAAGAATCGAAAGCGAAAATGGCGTAAGCAGTCGCCCTCTTGGTACTTGCAATAAATAGCAATTTAATTAACGGCAAATAGAAGACAGCTCGGAGATATTTCGATACGCGCAAACATCCGAATACCTCCACGTGTCGTCGTATTTAATTTACGCCATTCTTGCTTCGAATTTCTTGTGTCATAATATTGGGTCATTCCATAAATAATGCGGTATAAAAGGGATCTTGATTTGTTTCTTTTTTTTTTTTGGAACCGAGAGACTTTCCGCGCCGGGGATTTGAACATTTAGGATTAAGATGGGAAAAAGTTACGAATAACAATGGGCAATACGTTAGAAATAAAAGTGTCGCACTTTTTTATTTCCTTTCAAGAAAGTCTCTAAAAACCGCGTTACTCGTGGGACGACCCAATATGTTTTCTACGGAGCACTAAGCTCCGAATTACGGTGAAATGTGACGGTGAACGTTTGCTCTAACATCTATGTCCTATTATACGCGGGAAAATTGTCGCTCCTCTAGATTATTGTCGGAAAATTGATCTCATCAGCTGTGTGTTATCACGAAACATCATGAAACGGGGCGTAAAATGTAAAAGAAGGTTACTTTGCACCTATTGCGAATTAAATCCAACTTGTCTATATCTTTTTTTTGGTTGCAAAATAGGTTGAATGATGTCAAGATGTTGTAGAAAAAAGTCCATCAATGCGAAATGGAAAATTGCTATTGAAAAATAGAATATCATCCCGTAAGGGAAAAATCTATTAAATTCGATTTGACTGACATTAAAGCGTTTTTTTTAACGATCGCGAATGTTTCTTGCATGGTTTTTATAAAAATGTGCGCGCAGTAACAAGAACATATCTGCCAGCTTAAAAAACATTCTATTTCCCCAGCGGCGAGGCGAGATTAGATGAAATGTTATATATTAATAAAAGTCGTATCGGAAAACCATATCATTTTTCAAAAATAAAATATTACAGTTAACGTATTGATCATACGTGATATGTATATTTCGATAACATTAATATAGATCCAATTTTTATACGTTTAACAATAAAGACGTCTCACTTTAAACTGTAATAAACTCTGTTTCTCTTTCAAAGATACGTTAACTAATTCAACAATACGAGTATATATTATACATTGTCCATTACGTATCGAAGGTAACTTGCTATAGAACAAAATTATTTTCCGGTTGCTTCTCTTCTCATGTTCTCCTTTAATTTCGAGAAAAAAAATTCTTAAAATTAAATGTTGTAATAAATTCTATGATAAATAGATTCGAACAGCATCGAAGGAAGAGACATAGCTTTCCGACACACACCTTGCCGAATATTCGGACATTGTTTCTCGTTATAATGGGATTGATATGTTTCGCGAGACAGACGACGCTCGTTATAAGCAATAATCGAAAATAGTTTGCGCACGAAGAAGCCGCGTCTATGAGTTTACAAAACTTCTGCAAAGACAATAAAACCGCTGCCCCCGTGTATTTCGATATATCGAAGGAAGACATTGTGATTGTTCGATCTTACGTTCATCGCCTTAATATCCTTACGATTAGATATGTTACAGCCGAATTATCCTACAGCAATTGACTTTTATTAAGGAATGAACTTGTGCATCGCGCTCAGTATGCACAGCATTGTAGGTAGCGTTAGTTCTCGTATGAGAATCGCCGCGGAAGACGTCACATCCGGCGCTGGTATGATTTGCACTGAAACAAGTCGCACGGGTACAAAAATCGGGACTTTTTCCGTTATTGATAAATTGTTAAAAGTGAAAATGGAAAGCCCTGAGGCTTATAGAAAAGGTACGAGGTCGCAGAGAGTAGCCAGCTGCGCATGTACTTTACTATGTACTCGTATTTTATTTCCGACAGAAACACGCATTGCGTGACAATGTCGGTCTCTTAATAAAATAATTCTGAATCTATTCTTGCGGGATCTCTCTTGTTTATTTTCGAAAGTTCGGCATCGTGCATATTCGGCGGCCAAAGATCGTTAACGTCGTACACGCGAAAACAAAGTTCAATATCTCTCCGTCGTGGAAAAACTTACCCGACACCACCTTTCTCTTGATATCGGCAAATTGCTCGTGCTTTCCGGGAAAATCGGGTATCGTTGCCCGACAGCTGATTTCCAGAAGTCCATTTTGGCCGGCGTGCAACTCGGAAACTTCCACCGTCAGCTTGGCGGTGGCGGACATCAGATGATTCTTATGATGTGTATGCGGATAGTGAGTCACGAGAGCAATATCCACCTGGCGAAATCAATAAGACAGAAGATTGCAATCGAGCGAAAGAACTTCCAGAGATATTTAAGAATTTAACTGCGCGCAATTATATCCACGTTCGGCAGATTACGAGAAAAAAATTTACACATTTTTACACATCAAACACGCGCGCCGCAAAAAGATAATCTATATAATTAAATTTGGTAACTTGGTAAAAGTAAAAATCTTTATTAATACAATAATCTATCGAGCTAAAGCGTTTAAGTATCATAGAAGTAAGAAGCGATCAGAAATGTACAAGTTTCTTTAGTTTCTTTAGTTTCTTTATTAAACGCGTTTAATTTATAATTGTTACAATCGGGGTCAAATGGTCTTTTTATTGGGCTTGTTAAAAGCACAATTACGTTTCAGTGTTTATTATTCTTTACCTCTTCTCCATTTATGAACCACGTTATATAAGGAACTGGACGTGCCGGCGAGGACGTACAATTCGCCTCCAGGCTCTCACCTACCACGTATACACTCTTCTGGAACCTAATATTAGGATCTTCCCTCTGTGGAACTAAAAGGAATTATAACAAGTATATCGGAGGTGCGTGATGCAATGGAAAAGTCTATAATTATTCAACATTAATACTTAAATCTGGGCATTTGGGTCTTTGTCTATTTCGAAAAATATCTACGTCGAATAATTTATAAATGTTAAAATTGATAAAAATTATTTCGGTCAGATCGACACTTTCAATTATATATAGCTTGCTTAGTATCTGAATTATTAATACAATTCAACATTACAATGACTAATGCCATTAGCAGTGTGGTATACATACTCTTTATTCTTGTAAGGTCAGCACTATCACTTACATATTACTTTTATCTGTACGGGATCAGCGCCAGCAGTATAAATGGGTGTCGTCATAGTAACTTCACAGCTATAATCACCGGAAGCTTCGTAACGCACATTGTGCAGTTTGATTGTCGTGCCATTCTTCGAGTACTGAAAAATAATAGCGACATGTTAATGCCAATCATGACACGTGGCGTAATTAATTAAAATGACTATGCAGTATACTCTATATTAAAAAAAATACATACAAGTGACAAATGTGCACGGCTCAAGTGTGCGTAAAATGTATGCGCGAAAATTAATTTCTCTCAAAGCGTGATTCTTTGTATATTTACACGTTGTATTTCTCTTGCCTCCGGGCTCTTCAAGCTTAATAATTAAATAAGGAAGATGTTACGCTTGCACGAGAGAAAATAAAATACCTCTGTGTCGCGGTGCTTTTTTTTTTATCTAAATGTGTCATTACTTCCGCTTTCAGATACGCTGAATTTGATAATGAAGTGCGTCGGAGTTGTCTTTGAATGAGAGTTCAAGAGTGTTCTTCTGTCAACTTGCTCTACCAGGATTTGTCACTTGTATTCCTTTCATCTATCCATTTCAATTATATCAAGTGGATGCATGAGCAAGGAGAAACGCTTTGAAAATACAACGCAGAACACTATAGATAATGTAATTCAGCGCAATCGTTGCTTTCTGCCACTTTTACTCCTATTATATTTAGATGCAAAGTCTATCGAAAATATCCTCGCTTCTAAAACCATCGATTAATCGCTATTTGAAAATATCAGGGTGACATTTAGACTATCGAAGGAGGATCTCCCTCTTAAATTAGCAATATGGAAATTGGAAGGAGCTCAAACAATTCATCATCGCAATCGTTTCTTTTCCATTATCACCGTTTGTTCAGAAATCATAGGTATTATCGAGGTGACTGGAAGTTCCTATTGCATTAACTTAATTTCGTTATTAAGTAGCCTAGATCTAATCATTTTTAGCGCTCCATTTGTTACGCGTATCTTCACCTACATCTTTCATGACGTACTGTAATAACTTTAAGATATCTCAGAATTAACGTTGCGCGAGAACAGTCGTAAATCCCTCCGTTGTCAACAATGGAGTATTCCGATAATGAGGATGTGAAGTAGCCGTCGACCGAGAGTTCTCGAAAATTTTCACAAAAATAGAAAATCGAAAGAAAAGACGATACAAGACAAGAGACGGACATTGATAAAAACAGAAGACCTCTCGTGTCGTTCGGTCGTGCAATTCGATCGATTTCTTTTCCGTGACAATGAAGTACACTCGTCCCTCGATTTACGTCGTATTTTTTTTACACGCAATTTCAATTTCGTGCAGTCAGAAAATGTGTCTTTAAAAGAGACGCGCAAATAACGAGATAGAAGCGCCGCGTATTTCTAATAACGAGGAAGGTGATTTAGGGCCAATTAAAAAAGAAAAGGTCGACTGCTCTGGAGTGCAGTATCGACTGCGACGAAATAAAATTGAAATTTGTTTTTGAGCTTTCATTATTATTGCACCTACGTGAGATAAATCTTTTTACAACGTACAGAGGCTTTTTCCTTATACATATTTTTTTTCTTATACTGGCAGGCTTTATTTAAGGTAGTTATTTCGTAAAATCATTTATGTGAGAATTGTTTCAAATTTTTACAGTTTATTCTTTACATTAATACGTGCAAAATAAGACTAATTAAATTAAAATTGACCGTCTCAAAGTTCCAATAGAAAAATGTTAAAGTTTGCTATGTTGCACGAAATATTACGTGTAAAACATGTGATAAATATTAGTACACGTAACAATGTAATTCGTTGTAATATTATTACACGTGAAATATTATTTACACGTATTATTATGTCTCAAAATAATAATATTTGCGTTTGCAAACGCAAATGATGGCACATTTTATTATTTTTTAAGCTTAACAGTGAGTGAAAGAACGAACAACTGGGGAAAAAATCAAAATTATTGACCGTTCCGTTTCAACAATATAAACAGTTATTGAAAAATGGGAAGAATTATGTAGTAGACATGAGTGTAGTGTAGGAGATGTGGCAACAGCACCTCAAACTATAATCTTTCGAATCTATTTTATATTATGTATTAATCGTAAGTGTATTCTTTAGAGCGATATTGCATCAAGATATATCATTGCAATAATTTTGAGCATTACTGCCGCGAAACAACCACCTTAAGGGGATGCTGGAGTGATTCTGCACTTTCGCATCTTTTGCACTTAAAACTGTCTGTTTCGTGGAAAGATTTGTGTAATACACAAATTAAATGGCACGTGTACGGATGATCGAAAGCAGCTTGCTATTCCGACTAAATTAAAGAACAATATGACATCACTGAAACTAATTGTAAGTTTGTAAGTCTAATAAAAAATAATAGTGAGCAACACATACATACAGTACATGTAGTATGTGTGTTGCTCACTATTATTTTTTATTAGACTTACAAATTTAGTTTCAGTGATGCCATATTGTTCTTTCATTTGGCCGGAATAGCAAGCTGCTTTCGATCTGTACACGTAAGCCATTTAATTTGTATATTACACAAATGTTTCCGCGAACTGACAGTTTTTAGGTTAGAAAGGTGCAAAAGTGCAGAATCACTCCAGCATCCCCTTAACCGATTCTTAACCGCACAAAAAGAACCGCGTGGCACGAATACTCCGCGTAAATCGAGGGACGAGTGTAAATGAAATTCTCTGTGCGCGACGGTTTCTCGACGTATCGCGAGGAGGAGGCGAAAAGTATTTTCGACACCTACAGCCCATCATCAGTAGCCTGAAATTCTCAGGCTACCAAATGGACGTTCTATTTCCATCACGTGTAGCCTCATTATTAATGTGTTGACTCTACATACACGCCGGCACAACGCTCACCCTCGTGACGTTGGGTATCACATATGGATTAGCACAAGTATTGGTTTTCCACCTTATTTCTTTTTTAATAGATCAGCCATCTGCGGCGCGTTTCCATCGAAAACATTCGCGAGGGAAATTGTGCTGCCACGCGTTGCTACGCGATGTTGTCGGGGGATATGGAGGGTATTTCACGTGCGGCGCGGGCTGCATGTATATGTACGTAAATAACTTTGCTTTGTGTCGATACATAAAAGACTGCACCTTAGGTAAATGCGTTAGCTTTGCTCGCTTAATCATTGGCAAAAGACAGAAGCGCGGACTCCGGATATTCAGCTTACGTTATTGAGGGCGTCCTCGTTATTTTTGGACTTTTGTTTACAACGGTTTTTTTTCCTTCTAGACCGTGTCGACAGGTGCACGACAGGTATGCAGACTAAGCTGTATTTTTACCTGTGCGCGTAATAATGTCAGGCGGCAGGTTAAAAAAAAAGACATTATTTCATTACATAAACAGGCGCGTGATGTAACAGAGGAAGAGCGTGTGAAGTGAAAAGAGTTTACAGTAAAAAAATTAATATTTATAGCAGAGCTACACGTGTACGCGTAAAATAATATTTAAGAAATTGAGAGAAAGAACGAATATTAGTTTCATGCATGAAGTTCGTAAAGGAAGGTATTATTACACTTGAAATTTTGAATCTAAATAAATAAAATCTTAATAAAGATGAAGCTGGAAATTAAGACGCAAGATACGCGTATAATTTTTTAATACATATATAATGAATTGAATCGGAATAAATTCTAAATTTGCCGTACGTGGACACGAGAGAAAAGATATATTCTCGAAGGTGAAAATATCTCCGCGCTTTCAAAAGATAAATTAGGTATCGCATGCTGAATGAAAATAATTTTGCGTTGCGAACCGTAAACCGTTAACGTACCCGTTAACGATTGCTCAATGTATTTCTTAACGTAGTCTAGACACTCTCGACTTCCGTTACCAAGATAGAAATTCGTTTAACATTCAGGTTTAAAGATATATAGACATTGATATATACATATAACTGTGGATAGATTGAGATGCAAAGGTCGATGCCATCAGTCTCGAGCCGTGTAAATTTGACACAAATTTATGTAGACGTGTTATCGAACCTGCATGCCATGCTGCGGCGCGAGATACCTTTGAGATAATTATGTACGTCAAAGCGAAAATCACGTGTACATGTACGTCAGGGCGAAGCGATACACAAAATATTTATGAGCCGCGCGTCAAAAGTCAGATAAGCGTCGGTTTCAAGTTAATTGATGAAATCAACCGTTACCTTTTCCCTCTTATCAATTCCGTCGGGCGCGCTCGGTAATTCGCTGTTCGAATAATCGCGAAATAATGAAACAGCAAAAGTGCAGGAAATAAAAGCGGGCGCAGCGGGGTGAAATATTAACAAGAGGGCTTTTTCTTTTTTTTAAAGGTCGCGGCGATTCTGTCTCGCTCACCTCCAGTTTGGCGCCCTCCGTGTACGACGGTGAGATATACGGCGGATTTCTCTCCTTAACGTACTGAAATATCCTCTTCTCGTCCTTCACAAACTCTATTTTGTGCAGCAAGTTGTCCGCGACAGTGTGGTTGCAGACCAAGGTGGCCGTACTGCCCAGCGTTACGTACTGCGGCGCTATCAATTGCACGTTCATATGATCTGCCAGCGACCCGTCTGGAAATCGTGAAATCACCGTTCGTATATACTACCGTGTGACCCTGGCGACCGATACGTCACGGACGTTATCAACAATGTCCGACGCATGAACGGTATTAATTCACGAGAGTCGCGGGCGCGCGATTAAAGGACAATTTCGCGAGCTGCAAAGGAAAGGTCCGGGAAGGCTGCGGGTTTAAAATTTATATTCAATCGAGAGAAAGGCGATTAATTTGAAAATTTATCGAGGATAGTCCCCTATTATGAGATAGGCTCCTAATATGAGACGGCGTTGGTTCCGCCACGAATTTATTGCCCCTGCAGTGAGGTCCGTTTAGTGGAAGATTCATTGTACGATCGTGATTTGTGATTGAATTCTGACGTTGAAAACCTACTATCTCACATTAGAATCCCACCTCGTAACAGTGGACTTTCCTCTATTAATTAAAGAAAATATTTCGGTTCGGCTGGATTTGGTTGGGTATTCAAATTGTATGGTATTTTTGTGCGAATTTTGTATACTTGTTCCAACTCACGTCAGTAAACTACGCGCCCCGATTATTAAAACACAACATTCGTTGAAAAATGGTTATCCATATACATAAAATTACTGCACAAAAATTAAAGAATTAAAGTATATAAAATTCACAGGGAAATGTTATTATCGGGCTACCACGATCCAGCCCGTCCGAAAATGGCATCGTCTCTAATTAATCGCGAGATTATCGATTCCGTCAGACTTATTATTTCAGAAATTATATATCCCGTTGATTTAGGATTTTATCTATGTATAAACCGAGCGTTGCGAACAATTCAGTTGTCCAGACACTTTCTTTTTTTTTTCATTACATTTTCCACTTCACCTGTTTTATGGACTAAAAGCTATATGACATTTCGCGAGCATTCAGACACGTCGAAAGATTATTGTTTAATAAAGAATGAAGCGAGACTTTTAAAATCGTAAAACTGCCGCTTGACGCGATCCATATATCCCATGGTTTATGTGATATTCATTTAGAATTGAATTCGTCGGGGGTTAACTTCGAGGGGCGTCGTAACCCACAAACCTAGATAAGGTCACGTATAGGGTGTCTTTCGTGCACGTAACTTTAAATCTTGGGACCAAAGTCTATTAAAATAAAGTTTATCTGAAATTCAGCGAAAAATAAGATTCCTATCGTTTCTCGCTGTTTGCGAAACTTCTCTCTGCGGGAGCTCTTACATTTGAATTCTTCAAAACTAGAAAACTGTCAGTATATTCTACCCCAACGTTCTTATAACGAAAAGCATCAACTCCAAATTGCTCATGGGATTCGTAAGTGGAACAGAATATATTCTACGTATTCTCTCTCTTTCTCTCTACGGGAAGAAATACGCGTCTCTTGTTCACTTTGGCCGCGATGTGTACGCTATTTCATGTGAAATAAAAATATACAGCAATAACGATATGTCAGAATGACATTTGATATTTCGATTAAACGCCGTCAAGACCGGCGGTCTCGTGTTGCACTCGATTTTCATTCAACTGGCACGAACGTGACAACGAGACGACGGCGAACGGATTAATCTAGCTATTGCCGGGAAGAACGGAGGGCCTTCGGCCGACTGTAACTACTTGTGGCAGTCCGCCCTGTTGCTGGGAGGTGTTACTGTATCGATCAGAATGAAAGCGCGCGTTACCGCCGCACGCATGGTATATTATTTCGAGACGTTTCGAGACAAGAGGCCTATTTTCGAGGTCGATCGTGCCGCCGGATAATGCTAATGCCACGCGATTTTCTTACGCGCCTGTCCTGTAATATTTCAACGGGCGCTTAAAGCGGAACGGCCGATTGCCGCTATGCCGTTCTCCGTAATTAGAATCGACCGATTTTTTTTTTGTCGGCGTCGACTGGCGCAAACGATATAATGTAGATTGTAGGAAATGGACGATTGATTTTAGGGGATGCCTGTGCCCGTGAAAATGCGCGCCTTTGCCTCGATATAATAAAACGTTCCTCGCGAGATTTCCAGGTAATTGACTCTCGCATTAGAAATTCTCACAGCAATTTTCTTCTCGCGTATTTTTATAAAACGCGGAAGTCACGGCCTTGTACGATACAAGAGATTTAACGTTTTATACTAAGACTGAGGAAAAAGTCTTGCAGCTTTCCTTCTGCAGAGAGAGAGAGTATAATATTTTGACTTGCACGAATCGTGTACGCGATAATATATTTTCAGTCCTTTTTTATACAAATATTTGCAGTGCTAGAAGAATACTGCGGGAGAGTTTGCAGAATATTCATAATATTTCAAGCCGACACTTGGTTTCTCTTATGCAAATAACGTGCAATTAGGGTGAATATAATTGGATCGATAAATAGTCGAATAATTGGTTTCTGCCACAATGGCTTTTAAACTCGGGTTGTGTGCGAATGACCGAAAAAAGTGGTCGTATTTTTAGCTATTTCAATTTAACTGATTTATTAACCTTTTTGATTTAATTGGATTTTCGATTTTCACTTAACGCCTGTATTTTCGACGCCTATTTAATCTAAACTAAAAATATATTAATTGACACATATTTCTTCCCTTATATAGATCTGTCACGACTTCTAACTTTCCACATTCAATTGGAGCGCAATAAAGAACATGGATGTATTTACCTTGAATGATTTCTCAATTTTTTCGCGTATATTCACAGCGGTATTCGTAGTTGCAGTTTTATATTTAATATTATAAACACGACAAAAGATTATCTATCTTTCTTTCTATCTTTAAAATATGTTCTAATTGCGAATGTATATTAAACATATTAGGTTGTTTCAGTTTCTTTCGTTCTCTTCTAAAATTTTATCTTACAACATTTCCAAAACGGCAAACTTTTATTGCCATAGATACGCCCCGCTCTGTTCAATAACCTTCTTCCATCTCTCAGGAAGCCTCACAATGCCTTTTCTCTTGCTTCCAAGCGATTTTTGATGCGTCATTCATTTTGACAGATTCCTTTTTAAGGAAGGGAATTTTTTCAATGAAAAAAAACATACGGTAACCGGACGGAGAGTAGAGAACGTTCCCATCAAAACACTTCCAGAACTGACCAACAGACGAGACGTTATTTTCCATCGTGACAACGCCAGGCTACACGTATCCTTGGTCGTTAGAAATAAACTCCTTGCGTCTGATTGGGACGTTCTGCCCCACCCTCTGGCTCCATCCGATTATCTATTCCTTTCATTAAAAAGAAATTCGTTAAAATGAATGACACAAAGAATCACCTCGACGAGCATTTCCCGACAAATCGAAAACTAAAAAGATGACATTACAAGGTTTCTGGAGATACGGGAGAAGATATCGAACAGAACAGGATATGTCGACTGATCTCTTTCGCAGGGTCGTATTTCACGCAATTTCCGGTTTTTCTGCTTAAACGCTCATTTAGGGCCAGAATGAGCGTTTAAACAGAAAAACCGGAAATTGTGTAAATTGAGACACGACCTTGCGAAAGAGATCGATCGCTTACAATAAGCTTTGGGAATTTTGTAAGTAAAGATTTTCGCAAAAGAACGAAAGAAACTTGTGGGCAACCCAATATACGTACATATACATATAATCAATTACATATTGCGACAATGGAAAATCTTAGAGACTGTACCGGCATAAATTTGAGTAATTTTTAAAGAAATTACGAATAAGCCATTTCAACTCCTTTGCTAGTTCTCTTAAGATCGTATTCAATACGATCTCGAGATGTTATATTCATTGGTTGGAATCTTGAGGTTCCAGCCGACTGTCTAATGTCACTTTAGAGTCTTTAGACCATCGCAAATTTAACATCGGATTAGGAATACCGCTACACTTGTTATTTTATGTCTCCTCGCGTCGTTAAAAATTTATTTAGTATAAGATATTCATAATTTTCTGTTGTCGCGCGCTCGAAAACGAAGCGAGTATATTTAAACGCGACGTACCATATAGTAAATCTCTCTCTATTTTCCACTCTCGTTTATCACGTATAATAGTTAAATATTTCCAGAGGAAATTTCAGCAACTTTAATTTGATATGATATCAGTGCAAAAGGTTTGGGGGGAACTTCTTAATCGCATCTGTCAAACTCTAGCAGTTTTGAACAGATCCCATGAAATCGCGGAATTATTCCCGTCTTATTGCGAGATTCGGGATAATAACCGAATCGCGAGCTAACCATTGTTAAGGGCCGGTGAAATTTTGCGAAGCCGGAATTCCGCGATTAACGATTAAGATAGCGGCGGACCATTGTCGCGAGCTTTTGTCCGTCGAAATTTCGAGGAGCAGCAATGTCGAGCATTTCCTTTGACATTACCCTCCACGTCGGGCGCGCGAGCGTAGTTCTAGTTTCGCGGTAACTGACTCGCGCCAAGTTCCCTACCGTGTGCAAAACGTTTGACAAAGCGTTCTTATGCGCGTACCGCGTGCATTATCGCGTAGTAACGCATTATCGATCCGGCATCAGAAACGGGAATCGTTCGTTCGGCCGCTACAAACACCACCACTTTGCTTTGTTCCGCGGCGCGTGACAAAAATTACGATTGCTGCGCTATCGATTTCCGGTTTACCTTCATAAACGCACTTTAATCCGTAATAGATTCGCGCATTAACCGCCACGCCGGTGCTTTACGGCCCGAATAAATCAGGCCGAATTGAGTTTACATCGGCATTTATCGCACGTTTTCCCGTTTGATTCCGCGGGCGCGTTTCGCGAGCCGAAAAACAGCCCCGGAAAACTGGCCCGCGCAGCGACCTAAAATACGCGACAAGACGAACGCGCGTCGGAAATGGTTTCGTAAACAAAGAGTCGCCACAGGCGGCTGGATTGTTCGAGTCTCGTTCGTATTGGCGTTGTATTAACAAAGTGTGCATACGTGTGCGGCGCTTGTACGTGTCGAAACAAATGGAGGCCATTGAGGATTCACAGTGAATGTACATTGTAGTAATTCTACGTGGGTGGTATGAATGATGGGAGCTCATGTACACGAAATCAAGTGTTCTATTTTTATTCAATTTCACATTGGAGAGCAGCGTGTGAGTCGTTATTCCGAGTTTCGACAGAGGTGACGCTTTAAGATCCAACACGCATACACTAAGTCTTTCTTTCCTCTTCTTCCTTTCTCTCTCTCTCTCTTTCTTTTTTTCTTAAACACTCTCGTTCCGCCACGTTCTGCAACGTGGTGCAATTTGTCCAAGATATAACGTGGTCGATGTTCATTTCGAGAGCAACGTAAGTCCGGCGTTCCGAGTTCGACACCCCCGCGTCCGAAAGATGCGCGACGCCCGTAATACTCGTCAACCCCGTCGGACTCGTGTTACTCTCGCAATGATTAATTTGAATTGCAGTATTGTACAAGCGTAACAAACGGCGAGACTTGTTAACGGTGGCCGCCCCCGCACGTGCTCCGGAAATTCGTCCCATGGAATGCGGCGTGGAATTATTCTCCGTCTCGCGGTAACACGTTAGGGTGCACTGAACGATTAACCCGAGACATGTGTCGCACGTCGTGAGGTGCAAAGTGTGTAATATTGTCAGAGTACTGAATTGTATGGGGAATAATCTGGCAGCCTCGGCGCCCTGTGGTGTCGTCAACTGAAACAATACAACAATTTCTACGAGAGAAACAGAACGGCATCGGCGCTCCACGCTTTCTACCAGCGAATGCAGTGGAACGTTATTTCGAAGGATTAAATTACGTATACATGTCAGAGACCGAGCGTGTCCCCGCGACGACACTTGGGAGGGAAAAAATTATCTTCCCTTCCGCGAAGGGCGAGCCAGATTACGATTGTCCTCCCGGCGAGAGACGAGAGACCGACCGGCCCTGGGAGATGCTCCCGAACCCCCACCGAATCTCCCCGCCCCGAGCTCTTATTTACGGACGAGTTGATCAATTTGGAGTCGATTCTTTATCAACAGGCGTCGGACGAGGGCTCTTTTTCCCCCCGCGCGAATCGTCCCGACGGAGGAACCCGAGGGGTCCTCTTGCTCGCTTCGCGCGATCCGCGGGAGGAGATAAAGACGCTCGCGAGAGACAACGCGGGGCTGAAAACAAGGAGGGAGGGCGGAAGATGGCGACCGCGGATAAATATGAAAATATCATTAAAAAGAGGGACGAGGGGGAGACGAGAGAATCTCGGCGGGGGTCCGGGATGGGTCCGGGACGCGATCCGGGTCGGAGGACTAGTTGACGCCCGACGGCTCGCACACGGCCGGCGGCGCGCGACCACCCCTCGCAGCGACGGGGCGAATCGTCGTCGGACAGGGAGATGAGGAACGCACAAGGGGCGCGGGACACGCGCGCGTGCGGCGCGGCGGGAGGGCGGTAGATGTTTGTTATCGAGAGAGGAACAAACGCGCCCGCGCTGGCGCGCGCGCGCGCACGTTCACTTACATGAAAATAATGGCAAACTATACACGAGCAGTAGGATTTTTCTCCAGTGACCGGCGACCGAGGGGCGCTGCATCGTTCGCTTTTTTTCTACGGAGAGAGGTCGGAGAGAGAGGCTCGCTTCTCTACGGGCAGCGTGCACGGCTTTAATATCTGTTGCTCACTACTGTGGCGCGAGGCGGAGGCGAAGGCGGTAGGCGAAGGCGCAGGCGAAGGCGAGGCGAGGCGTAGGCGAAGGCGCAGGCGAGGCGGAGGTATATACATATATATACATACATATATATATATATGTATATGTATATATATACGGAAGATAAAGAGCGTGCGTGTCTACGTTTGTACAGAGTGTGCCTTTTAAAAACTACGACGCGACCTCGTGTATGCCGGGGAGTCGGCGCTACAACTGAGCCGAGGAGCAGGGCCTTTCGATCGTTCGACCGACCCGTTCCCGTTCGACCGACCTGACCCCCCACCGCACG